CCAAAAACTAATCAGCACGTCTCCTTATCAATACGAATCGAATGTTTTTTGAATTATTCAAATCGGTTGATCCGTGTTCCCGAAATCGTCGACGAAAATTTGTATCCGCACATACATACACACACGTACATACATACATACACACACACACACACACACATACACACACACACACACACACACACATACATCCATTTTTTCTAAGGTATGCCAAAATGTTAAGAAACCTCTGAAACGTAAAGATATATAAAAATTTTCATTTTCGATTTTTTTGCGATTACTATAACTTACCCTACGGGAAGTTAATAATAGTTGAAATAGTTCAAAACCACGTCAGAATAATTTTATGTGTAATAAATGAGCACCAGGCCAGAATAGTTTTATTTTGCTTAATGGTATTATAATGATCTAAAGTTTTCGCTTGTGGTGATTATATCTCAAGTACTTTACTTAGGCTTTAAAGATAATTTTTCTTTCTAATTTTCTCCTACAAAAATGTTGGCTTTTTTATTTAATATTCAAAATTCAACCCTGTTATAATATTGATATGAAATATTTAGACTAATAAATAATTAAATTAAATTTAGATTTTTTTTGTTATAATTTATTTTTGTTAACCAAGCATTTAATATCTTATTTACAAAATGATATGTGTTGAACGTATATGAAAAAATAAAGTTATGTCAACTAATTTATATTTTTATTCCCAAAAAAATTTTCTTATAAATATGTTATGCTTGAATTCTATTTCTCGAAATAATTATTTCTGTTGCCTCGTTGAATTTCTATAAATAAAAAGTCGATCCATATTTTTAAGAGCAGTTTCAGGAAGAGTATATATCGGATTTAAAACACACGTAAACACTGAATATATCAAATAAACAATGAATATATCTCGAGTTATAAATATCGAGAGGCGGTTTAATTTATTGAATTTTTCGAATGATTGATCCTTCAGATGATGAACACCAGATAAAACATTAATAATAAACTTATGAGAGGAATGAAAAGTTAACCTTCGTATTATATGTAGTAATGAACTATATTGGTTATTTAGACAGTTTTTTAGCATTTTCTTCATTGTCACAGTTTGAGAATACTTTCTCTCATGAATTAATATTTGTGACAATCCGACAAACTGGTCGAGATGACAATAAGGTTCCGTTATTACAATTTAGGACAAAATCTAAAAATGAATATATTCTTGTATATAATTTACATAAAATTTTAAATGGTATTTACCATATGATGATTTCTTATCATGCGGCAAACAATTTATTTAGGTTAGTATTAGGTAACTTTGTCTATATTTACATGCGCATTAATTCGGCAAGTTTTATTTTAAAGTAATTGCTTCTTTAATTGGATATAAGTTACCTAATTACAAATTCAAACCACCGTATATATTTTCAACAGAGAAAATTCTAACGTTTCATTTTAAATTATTCATTAATTTAATTAAATATACCTGAGAGCATAAATGATAAGTAAAATGCAATTTGCGAAGACTGCAAATTATGCAATAAAAATATTTCAGGCTCGTGCGATATGGAAATTACACAAGTTTCTTAATGATAATTATCTTTCATTTTTCCATTAAAATATCACGATGAATCCTCTTAATAAAATATCAGTTCGAACTACATTCAAAGTATGGATATTTTAAATGATTGTTTTTTCTACTTTTTACTTTTATCGTGAAATGATAAAATATACCTTATCAAATTAATGATATTTTAAATTCAATTTATAAAAGAGTATAAATTGATTGCTATTTTTACATGAATGGTTTTGTCACTAATTTAAAAATAAGTATTTGGAAATTACTCAAGAACAGCCAAGATGTGACAAAATATTTTCAATGATGCCATCAGACTATTTTTGATATTAAACACTTTTTTTCCATAATTTTTATTAATAATATTTTATATGTATTTAATTTATAATTTAAAATTAGCCAAAGATCTGTCTATAGAAGACATATGACAAAAAATATAAAGTCCATACATTGTATTTATCATAAGTATGATAAATTCAAATCGGATATATAATAAAAAAAGTTTGAAGTTTAAAACAGAACATATGCATTCAAAATTAAATTTAATATTATTAAGATAAAATATTTTTAATGATATAAGTTAGCAATGCGATAAAAATTATGATTCTATAATTTAATTAATTAAAGAGTTAAATTGTATTTTTTATTCACTATGAAAATGAGGACTAAGGCTAAGTAAAACATGAATAAGTATTTTACATAATTAATATTCAATATTCATCTATTTATCTATCCATTCTAATATCTATTCATCAATTTATTTAGCCTATTTTGAATCTAGCTATTCATCCACTATCTGTCCATCAATTTATCTATTCATCTTTTTATTTATCCATCAATCTAACTATTATCTATCCATCTATCTTATTCAATTTTTATGTATCTTTTTAATATATTTATCTGTTCATCCTTCTATATATTCATTCATCTAGCTATCCATTTATCTATTTATCCATTTATCTATTTATCCATTTATCTATTTATCCATTTATTTATCTATCCATTTATTTTGTCTACATTTCTATATATCTATCTTTTTTATTTATTCATATATATCTGCATTTATCTATTCACATGAATTTATCTATCTATTATATTATGTATCTATTAACTTATATATCTATTAATTTATATATCTATTAAATGATCTATCTATTAAATGATCTATCTATTAAATGATCTATCTATTAAATGATCTATCTATTAAATTATCTATCTATTATATTATCTATCTATTAACTTATATATCTATTAACTTATATATCTATTAACTTATATATCTATTAACTTATATATCTATTAAATGATCTATCTATCAAATGATCTATCTATTAAATGATCTATCTATTATATTATCTATCTATTAAATCACCTGTCTGATCATCCATCTATCTGATCATCCATCTATCTGGTGATTTATCTATCCAGTGATTTATCTGCCTTGTTATTTATTTATCTATAATTTCATCTATTTAGTGATTTATTTATCTGGTCATTTATCTATCTGATCATCTGTCTATATGGTCATTTATCTATCTATGAATTTATCCTTCTGATCATTTATCTACCTATAATTTTATTTATTCAGTAATTTATCTATCTGGTCATCTATCTATCTGGTCATCTATCTATCAGATCATCTATTTATCAGATCATCTATTTATCTGGTCATTTATCTATCCAATAATTCATCTATGTGGTCATTTATTTAATTTATCTATAATTTCATCTATTCAGTAATTTATTCATTTGGTCATTTATCTATCTATTAATGTATTTATCTGGTTTTTTCTCTACCTGATCATCTAACTATCTGGTCATTTATCTATCTATGAATTTATCTTTCTGATCATTTATATATCTATAATTTTATCTATTCAGTAATTTGCCTATCTGGTCGTCTATCTGGTCATCTATATATCTGGCCATATATATATCTGGTCATCTATCTATCAGATCATCTATTTATCTGGTCATTCATCTATTCAATAATTTATCTATGTGGTCATTTATTTAATTTATCTATAATTTCATCTATTTAGTAATTTATTCATTTGGTCATTTATCTATCTATTATCGTATTTATCTGGTTATTTATCTACCTGATCATCTATCTATCTGGTCATCTATTTATTTATTCATTCTGGTCATTTATTTAATTTATCTATAATTTCATCTATTCAGTAATTTATCCATTTGGTCATTTATCTATCTATTAATGAATTTATTTGGTTATTTATCTATCTGCTCATTTATCTATCTATGAATTTATCCTTCTGGTCATTTATCTATCTATGAATTTATCCTTCTGGTCATGTATATATCTATAATTTCATCTATTCAGTAATTTACCTATCTGGTCATCTATCTATCTGGTCATCTATCTATCTAGTCATCTATGTATCTTGTCATTTATCTATCTAGTCATTCATCTATCTATCCAAGTATCTGTTTATTCATCTATCTATTTATTAATATTTTTATGTATCTATTTTTTTACCTATTTATCTCTGCATTTATTTATCAATCTATCTCTTCATTTATCTAGCTCGTATTTTTTTTATCTATTTATCCATCTGTAAATTCATTTATCTATCTATTCATCCAAATAAATACTCATTTATCTACCTAATCATTTATCTACCTAATAATTTATCTACCTAATAACGAAAATTTTATTATTAGGTAGATCTACATAATAATTTATCATTTATCTACATAATAATTTATCTATCTATTAACTTCATACGTTTAATTAATTTCAGTCATTAATTTATCAGATCATTTATGTATCTATGAATTTATCTTTCTATGATTCTATCTATCTGGTCTATTTCTATGATTCTATCTATCTGATCTAGTTTTTTATCTATCTATGAATTTATCTATATAGTCTATATATCTATATCTATATAAAATATTATCAATTTAGTAATTTATCTATCTGGTCAATTATCTATCTATTAATTTATCTATTAAATAAATTTATTCATCTGGTTATTTATCTATCTGTTCATCCTTCTATCTGACCATTCATCTATCTAGTCTTTCATCTTCTTGGTCATTTATCTGTCTATGAATTTATCTATCTATAATTTTATCTATCTGTTAATTCATCTATATGGTCATTTATCTATCTATTCATTTATCTATTTATCCAGGTATCTATTTATCTAGTTATATTGCACAGGAAATTAATATAATTTAAAACCTGACAGCATAAAAAATTAAATTTAAAAAATTATGAATAAATTGCATATTGTACTTCTCGCAGAAACTTCTATACTAAATGATTTATTCCGCAATACTTATTACTTGGTGCAAAACAAATAATAAAAACGCCGGTCCCGCCCACATTTTATCAAATACCTATTGAATGACAGTAGATAACAGGTAATTAAATCGCGATAAAATTTTAATATACTATTTCCTATGAACTTACAGTGTTTTTAATGTCCTTATTAGTCGAAAGTCTCCTATAAAACGTTTTAGCCGGTTCCGTTTCATTCTCGCTCTCGGACGAATCTTCGCAGAGTTCTGCATTTTTGTTCGACGAAGATGAGCACTTTGGTTTATTTGCCATTTTACACTTCACTTATAATTAATAAACGGGCACCAAATCGTATGGGCCTCGTTCACTACCGATTCAATTCAATATTCGACATCGACACTTACAACTAACGATTTACAACTAAATTTCGTAAATTTGAACACATAACACGACATGCGGTCTGTCAGAGGCAGACGCCATGACATGCGATCACCGACGCCGACGCATGCGTACTGAGGAGGATGATTGATAGAAGAGAAGAGAAGAGAGTCGAGTCGGTTCGGCTGTTTTCCCTTCTTCTCGGCCACGAGGACGAGGACGATACTACGAGCGCCGGACGCGTAGTAAACAAAGACGGGAATTTACGGCTAATGTGACACAGAGCGCATCAACTTAGGAGGCGTCCATTAATCACATGAGGTTTTTAGGGGGAGGGGGGGTTTGAAAAAAAACCACAAAATATCACGTGGGGGAGGGAGGGTATAGTAAGATATCACGTGTATTTATTTTTTAACTACTTCTTTAAAAAAAAGTTCAAATATTTAAAAAAAGATAAAAAAATTTACAGTTTTTTCACGTAACTGAAAATAAAAACCAAACACGTGATCTTTGGTGGCAGAGGGGGGGTTAATTTTGAATATCACCAAATATCACCAAGGGGGAGGGGGGTCCAAAAATCCTTAAGAACTCGCTCACGTGATTAATGGATGCCCCCTTAGCCGATCAATGACGGTAAGTAACGTACGGATATACAGGATCGTTAACCAGAGAGTTACTGGCATCGGTCACATAAATACATTTTTATGATACAGAAAATCCGTCATCGAAACTACATCCTGATTTGACTCATATTTCAAATGACTGGACTCAAATTGCTGGAACTTCCCGTACCATAGGGGCCGTTCAAGTATTACGTAAGCACTATAGAGGGGCGGGGGGTTGTTAATTTGCTTATTTTGGTTAAACATGGGGGGCAGGGGGTCTGGATGATGAATACGTTATAGGTAGTATTTTTATTTTTTACATTAATTGCAAAATGTTTTTACGTAAGCATGGGGTAGGTAGTAAGAGCTTTGCTTACTTTTGCTGACGAGGGGGATGGGGGGGGTTAATAATTGTAATAAATCTGCTTACGTAATACTTGAACGATCCCAATATTTAAAAATCTTGGTACGGAACCCAAAAAAATTTACACAAGATGTGTACACATTATACAAATCTCTATAAAATATCTGATATTTTGATGTGCATATGTCCAATGAACATTTTTCATTTTTGACCGCCAATGACATTTTTTAAACTTATTTTTATTGAGAGTCCATAACCGCTGGACCTGCCTTCCCAAAAATTTCAACAGTTCTTCATCTTGTTAATACAAGTAAATTGTTTTATGAATTATTCAAATCGGACGGTCCGTTCTCTTAAACCTGAGTTAACGTTTTTAGCACGTTTTTCCCGTATCTTCGTAACGGCGAGGTCTGCCTTAGCCGAAAACTAATTAGCACGTCTCCTTATCAGTGAATTTGAATTATTCAAATTGGTTGACCGGTGATCCCAAAATCGTCGACAAAAATTTGTATCCGCACACACACACATACATCCATTTTTTATAAGGTATCCCAAAATATTCAGAACCTCTGAAACGTAAAGATATATAAAAATTTTCATTTTCGATTTTTTTGCGATTACTATAACCCTACGGAAGTTAATAAAATGCTATCCATACACAGATAATTGTGATTCTTTTTAGAAAATTATCAATATTTCGCACGAATAATTGATATATTTTATAATAAAATCACTTAAATAGTTGCACATAGCATATTTCCTCAATCAATCAACTTTCGATTAGGTCGAGATTATAATATCTAATGTACTTTATTTAAGTGAGGAGGTCAACTGTAACCAGTAGGTACCTACAAAACGCCAAAGAACGTACATGTGCTCAGCACAGATTTTGATTAGAATCGCTTAAGCACGCGATGAAATTATAAACTTTGTTAAATTACTATTAATAGATAAATAGATAAATGGAGAGACAGATTGATAAATTGCAAAGAAGGATAAATATAAATATGAATAAATAGTTAATTGAATAGATAGATAGAAATAGACATAAGGACTAGTGGTAATTAGCATTTTTACATAAGACAAGTTTCATTAACTTTCCGAGATGTAAACATAATCAATAAGAATTGAGATATAGATATTTAGGTAAAATTTCTAACAGTTACTTCAAAAATAAATTTTTTCCCTTCACTATAAAATAATCAATTTCTTTTCCAATTAATGTATTTCAAGCATACTTATATTATCTGTTATAGTACAAATTATATTGAATTGTTAAACACAATTCATTTTATTTCTTTTTGATTCTAAAATGTGTTTTATTAAAGTTTGGGCGTCAGCTGTAATCAGTAGCTAGCTACGAAACACGTAATGCATATAGATGTGCGACTAGATTCTGATTAGAATCACGAAAGCGCACGACGAAATCCTAAACTTCAATGATTTTTTATATAATTCAACCACTTATCGTAGGCCTATAATATTTTAGCAAGTCATTTCAGACAAAATAAAAGAAAATTGAATATAAAAAATTAACTTACCTTACTTAATGTTCACTTCTGGAAGCTATTTGGATGAATTAGTTACTTGTCATCTGAAACGCCACTCTAAGAAATTTCTACATTATTTAAAATATTAATGAACATAAGTTGAATATTAATTACATAGTAATACATGTCAACTACAAATTTCTCAATGTACAAATATATATGTAGCAAAAATGAACTTGGATTTATTTTAAAGTTGTTAAAAGTTATGATGAAAAAAAATGCTTATATAAAATTAACTTACTTGTTAACTTCTGGAAAATATTTGGATTTTTCGCTCGCATGTCATCTAACAGCTCCATTAAGAATTTTCTATAATATTCAAAATATTAACAAAAAAATTAGATACAAAAAATAAACAAATAAAATTCCCTCAAACTTAGAAATATTATTTATTACTTACCGAACTCAAAACTATATTTAGCTTACCATATTTTCGTTGAATTTACATATAAAGTGAACAATTAAAATCATTGCCATTTTAATACAATAATATGACTAATTGTACAAGTTAATACAGTTTTAATCAGCAGTAATCTTAAGCTTATCATTGGTCTCCAATAAATATTAAGCTCGAAGTATAATCTATTATATATGTAGTTTGAGTTAAGAGCATTTCTGATGATTTAAAAGTAAATCCTTCTTTGTTGATGCTTCATAAAAGAGCAGATTATCTCCAAATTAAATAATCATCAGGAAACAAAAATAAAGCTCTTTGCCGGTAATTCTGACCGCTGCGCCATACTGCAGCAGTACAATTGCAGCCAGAAAGGAGATGAATTAAAGTTTATAGTTTATACTTTCACCGTATACAGAACTGCAAGTAAATATTAGATAAGTGAGAGAACGTTTTGCCTTGCAACAAGTTTCCAGTATTTTCTCGTCTCATACATAGAACGTGTTTGCTTACCGAGAACTAATCTCATTGTTAAGTAAATTTACATTTTGTTGAACTTTCTGGATCGAGAGATATAATAGTCTGTAATGTCATCATCAAAGGAAATTGTAATAATTACAAATCAAATAATTAATTTATTGCTCTAAATGCTATCATTGAAATGTAGGAGCGTGGCGTTGTTATGACAACGTTATGTTACAGTCCAATCTCCATATAAATTGGTAATAAAAACTGCCAATAAACTATATGTTTGCTATGCAGTCATTTTTCATATAAATCCTACAAATCGATAAATTTGTAAAAAAAATTACAATGATCTAAATTAAAGATTAGAAAACAGTTTTAAAACTCCAAAATTTAAATAGAAAATTATATATCAGTTTGAATATAATAGTGAATTCTAATGATTATTGTACAGTTGTTATATCATATTTAGCCAAAATAACATTACTACAAAAGATTATAATTCTTTTTGAATCCAATACTTTAATTTAATTCCCATTGAGTGATTTTGTAAAATTAATGGAAACTTAGAAATAGAATACGGTTTGGTAATATCTTAAATGACTATACTATTTTATGTATATATTTTTTTTAAATGCTTCTATTAGTAATCAAATATATTTTCACATTTAACATTTTTATTACATAAACTACAACATTATATAGGTGATTACATTCATAAAAAGTGAAAACTAAAACAAAACATTTTTCGTCTACACGATTTATACCACATACTAAAAAATGAACTTATTTTAGACCTAATAACTATTAAAAAATATTGTAGAAAAATTACTTCATTAATCCAGAGATTCAGATAGATCTTGTATTCTGTAAAATATATAAAATTGTATTAGATACAGCTTATAGAACTTTTATAAAAATTATTGCTTTTTTAACTTCCCGAAGGAGAAGTTTATGTTTTCATCAAAAAATCCGAATCGCTAATTTTATGTTTTCTTGACGTTTCGAGCCATTCTGAATCGAATGAGACCAAATTTGGAAATTATGTGTGTGTGTGTGTGTGTGTGTGTGTATGTGTGTGTGTGTGTGTGTGAACAGATTTTTTGCCGTAAATCGACGTTTTTCTCCAAACGGTTGGACCGATTTCAAAAATTTAAAAGCCATTTGATGTATCTCGATGAGGACTATCGTCTCTGAGTTTTGTGCGGCGATCGGCGGGCCGTTTCTTTGTAAATTGCAGAAAAGTGAAAAATTTTCGTCCACGTTTTAGCCCGCAATTCTGAATCGATTCTGAAATTCAAAAACCGTTCGATAGATATTGGTTGGGAATCGTGCTGATTAGTTTTTGGTAAAGATCGGCCGGGCCGTTTTCTTGTAATAAAGTTTTTAAAAAAAAATTTTTGACGATTTTTTATGATTATTTTTTTGACGATAGATACCATAGTTTTCTAGGTCATACTAAAATATTACGGTCCTACGACAACTGGTTCAGCTTTAAAAATTCGTCAAAGTTTGCAAAAATCAGTATGGTCTTTTTGCATTTGTCAAAATTAGACTTTTGATCGACGTTTTTTCTCAAAACGCCTGAACCGATTTTAGAAATTTAA